TCTCTCTCTCTCTCTCTCTCTCTCTCTCTCTCTCTCTCTCTCTGTTCCTCTCCCCTCTCCCTCTTGCTCACAGGCACGCGGGTATATCGTCGGTGTTTTCTACCGTCTGGAAATATCTCGCGATCTTAAATGTACGTCGACGAGGAGCACGCTATGTGTTCTTCGAAGTCCGGTGTCCGACAAGAAAACATTCGCAAGTGTTCCTCACGAATCTTGAGACGCGATTTGTTGCAAAGCATCCAAGAATATAAGAGATGTATGTTTAAACAAATATGTACACCAAGAGAAAAAAATATTCAAGAAGTAGAAGATACTTATTCGATACGGATACTGTATAACATATCTACTTAATCTAAATTCTTTTATTTAAATAGGCTAGACAATTGCTCTTGTGAAAAGATGAGGTTTCATGAAAATGCATAAATTTGGTAAATATTTTTTTTTTCAATAGAAGTAAATATGTTAATAGTGTAAATAAATCTTTTTTACTCCTTAGATATTCTTAAATATCTTTTTTTACTTTTTAAATATTCTTAAATATCTTTTTTCTCATTGTATATATTATATACAGAATGTTTGGTTTTGTGCAAGTGTAGAGCTCATTAAACTAGGTAGAACCTAAACTAAGGTGTTCATATTTCTTTCTTCGTTTTATCTATCGTGACAATGATAAGATTAATATTGTTACTATAGACCCCGAAGTAAAGGAACAATTATATAAAGGATAAGTAGTTGGCTCTACAAAATCGCGGAGAGCAGTTGCACACGTTTTCGGCATGTTGCAGAATAGCTAAAAATATGAGACAAATATCTCTTTACTATGTGCATTATATATTTAATTAAAAAATATAAGACTTGTATGATATCTCATATATCAAAGTGAAATATTTTGTAGGAAAGTACACAATAGTAATATTTTTATACATAAATGTAAACTTTTGGCTGCTTCACAAAATTTACGGGGAGACGGAGGGGGGTACGCGTTCCTTTGCGAGATTATTTTCAATCGCGATCACAATCGCGTCGTAGTCGTAGTCCGCGCGCGTTGCACCGTGTCGCGAGGGCGCTCCTGTAAAAAGGAGTACACGGACACTTAATTAATACCCGGGACACACGTAAATTTTATTCCGCCGAGGGTCGAAGCGCGCAAAAACGAAACGCGGGAGTGCAGTTAATTAATTATTCCCTTATTACGCTACACCCGCTAGGACGGACGAACGGACGGTCGGACGGACGGAGGGCGCGCCGAGGGTTTGGGAAGAGAGGGCCGAGGGCTGCAGTCGTCTCATTTCTGACTACCTAGCGAAAATTTCACTAAAGTGCTGCTCATGTGGAAATGACATAATTCGCGTGCGGCAAGGGCAATTGGCAGTAATTAAAGTGGGGCGGGGTGGGAAGGGAGAGAGAAAGAGAGATACAGAGAGGGAGCACGAGAGAGAGAAGAGAGAGAAAGTGAAGCAGAGGACGGGAGGGAGGCCGGAGGGCAGCGGGGCATGAATGAAATTAAGGCGGGTAGCGAAGATGACCGTTTACATGGGTCCACGTCTGCTCGAGTCCGGTCTCTCTCTCTGTGCCGCGACAATAAAACGAATTTGCATACGGGACAACTCGCCCCCGGACGAATGTCCCGTGTCTGCATCTCCCGAGCGGAACATTTTCCTCGGGCGGACGGACGGAGTCATCGGCGCGCTCGGAAAGAGCCCGAATTGCCGTGTATTAAGAATTTATTAGCTAGCATTTCCCGAATCGCGTGCGCGGACGTGTCTCTCCGCGACACACTCGCGAAATTTCGCCTCCTACTCCGGACTGAGAAAAGGCGATCCGAGCTCTCTCATTAGCCCCTGGGACACTCGTTTACGACGAGCGCCCCGATCGAATAAAAAGATATATACGTATAGCTGTATATTCTCTCGCTCCCTCTCTCGCCAATTTCAACCCCCGTGCCGGTCATCGTCGATAAGCTTGTCGTCGTTGGAGCTCGAGGAGTGTCAAGATGGGGCTGTAACGGCGCGCAACCAACGGGACCAACGTCGAAGCGGGGGATCGTTTTGGACTTCAGACGGCCTCAAACGGAAGCAGACAAAGGCGGAATGCAAAAACTGCCGTATAGCAAGCGGACGGAAAAATGAGGCGAAGTGCGAAACGCGTCGCAGCATTTTTGCGGCGGACGACTGCTCGTTGGTGTACGCTCTCTTTCTTTCTCTCTCTCTCTCTCTCTCTCTCTGCCTCTCTTTCTTCCTCTGATTCTCTCGCTCGCTCGCTCGCTCTATAACGTATTTGCGAGATCCGCCGCGTTGATGGACATATAATGCGACGTGTGATTGTAGGCCCGCCAATCGCGGCCGATTGTGCCCCTGAAGGCCCGCTAACTATCTCAAACTAGCCCCATTCAAGCCTCGCGACCTCTCTCTATCCGCCTCTATCCGTCTATATCCGTCTCTGTAGCGCATCACCTCAGCCACTCTCTACCCCTTTCGCTCTCCAAACCCCCGAGTCCCTTTTCCGACCCTCCGCCACCACCACTAACGCCGTTGCCGCCGCCGCCGCCGTCACCGCCACCCACGCGTTTCTGCGCCTCAATGCGAGCGCGCGACTCCACGCGCGCGTCTCCGCACGATTCCTCCGCGTTATGTGTGTGTTTCTGTGTGTACACACACACATGTGTGTACATATATATAAAATATAAGCCACGTAGAACGTACGTGGAAATTCCGAATCTATCAACCGCCCAGACGAATGCAAATGGCGCATGAAGCGCGCTTAATAAAGCCCGCGTACGCAACTTGCGAATCGCAATTTTCTTTAGGACGTGCCGCCCCGTCACGATCGTGGCTGTCGCGTTGGTCCACGCAAAAAATTCTCCCCGGGCTTTGCGCACGGACTCGCGTCGCGCATCGACGCGGGAATTCATCGGGATATTAAATAAATGCTTCGTCACTTAACGACAGCGACGGCGTCGTCGTCGTCGTCGTCGTCTGGCGAATTCGTGTCGCGAATTCGTGCATGGCAAGCGCTCGCGCGTTAATAACGTTTGAATGACTCAATATGGCTTGATCGCGCTTGAACGTCCTGTTTCTCGACCGCTTCGAGAATAAGCACGTGCTCGGAAATGTTCATGATCGTGGTGGTCTCGCACGCGAATTGCATCGCTTGATGAGAGCGAATCGGGACTGAGGACTTACAGTGGATTAAAATTCAACCACGAACCGTGGGTAATTTATTTTAATCTCTACTTAGTCTACACAAGATATATACGCAATAAATCGCATCATCTAAATTGACGCACGCCACGTATTAGGTATACAACTTTGCTTCCGCCGTTTTTTCTCGAAATTCGAGGCTTTATTGTAAAAAACTGGTTATACATTTATGATTCAAAGTATTGCCCATCGCTACTACTTTCTCCCATCTTTCGGGCAGCGTACGAATCCCGCGTCGAAAAAATTGGTCATCTTTTGAGGCGATCCACGAATCGATCCAATTTTTTACTTCTTCATAAGACCGGAAGTGCTGGTCAGCCAGGCCGTGTGCCATTGATCGAAACAAGTGATAGTCAGAGGGAGCAACGTCTGGAGAATACGGCGGGTGGGGTAGGACTTCCCATTTAAATGTTTTCAAGTATGTCTTGACCACTTTCGCAACATGGGGTCGAGCATTGTCATGCTGCAAAATCACTTTATCGTGTCTCTCGTTGTATTGCGGCCGTTTGTCTTTCAATGCTCGGCTCAAACGCATCAATTGCGTTCGATACCGATCGCCTGTGATTGTTTCAGTCGGTTTTAACAGCTCATAATACACTACGCCGAGCTGGTCCCACCAAATACAAAGCATGATCTTGGAGCCGTGAACATTCGGTTTGGCCGTCGACGTGGAAGCATGGCCAGGAACTCTCCATGATTTTCTGCGCTTGGGGTTATCGTAATGAACCCATTTTTCGTCCCCAGTCACAATGCGATGCAGAAATCCCTTCCGTCTTTGCCTTTCAAGCAGCTGTTCACAAGCAAACAAACGCCGTTCAACATCTCTCGGCTTCAATTCGTACGGCACCCAATTTCCTTGCTTCTGAATCATTCCCATGGCTTTGAGGCGTTTTGAAATGGCTTGTTGAGTCACTCCCAATGATCGTGCCAATTCTTCTTGATTTTGACACGAGTCTTGATCAAGTAATGCCTCCAATTCTGCATCTTCGAAAACCTTCTCTCTTCCACCGCTATGCCGGTCTTCGACGTCAAAATCACCGTTCTTGAAGCGTTGAAACCACTCACGACACGTTCTTTCACTAATAGCGGCATCACTATAAGTATTTGAGAGCATTCGATGAGCCTCATCCGCAGATTTCTTCATATTGAAGCAGAAAATTAAAACCTCCCGCAAATGACGAGAATTTGGCTCGTAAACTGACATTTTCAATCGAGAATAACTTTATGATGCAGACACAAATCGACTAATGTTTCTATGGGGTTATGTTGACAGATGCCCAAGTTTATTGTATGACGTCTATGATCTATTTATTTCGACCACCACTTACCGCTAAAGCCATCTATAGGAAAATGGCGGAAGCAAAGTTGTACACCTAATATATATACTGATATAAAAAATATCACTTTGCATTTCTTATCTAGACGCTTCTGAAAAAAGAAACTCGGTGCAACCGCGATCGCGTTCAATTTGCACGTTATAATTGATGATGGAAGAAGTCTGAGGTTCACGCGCTTATTTTCTACATTCCTAATAGTTGTCTGTTTCGCAATCATAAATGCGCACGTGGAAAATAAAAAACTGTAGAAAAGAAGATGGCGAAGTTGTTGGAAGGATTCGGGAATTTCGCGATTTGGGCCACTTCACTATGACATAGTCCATCGGTTAGTCATAACGATCCATTTGCGATTATATTTTCTCCTTTCTGTAACAATAACGATTCTCTTAATGCGCAGTGCCGAGCGTTCTTTGATCGAATGAAAACACATTTGAGTGGAAAAGTGCTCGCTACGACTGTGATTGCACGCGGAAATAATTATAATCAGCAAGATCCCTCTTGTAGCGAGTGCTATTATACAGGGAGGAAATTACTATATATAACGAATTACTTTATAGCAAAAATTACTATAGAATTTTGTGTAACCAAGTAAACCGTAGCGAAGATTATCTAAATACGAAATTAACTAAGATGGGCAAATGACTAGCAAATATCGCATATATTTCGTGTTTAATTAATATAGATGACAGAGACAGAGTTTCTATCTGAACTGTTTGTAGAATTTAACAAGAAAGTCTCTCTATGGCGTCCGTCCAGATGAAAACCAGTGACACTTTTTATGAAAAATGACTGTGGTAGACAAAAAAGATTCGAGACCAGAGACAAACGAATGTACATCCACCTAAATTTTCTCGCAGAAAGCTGCTGCTGTAAATTTTACGTACCACAGACAATTTTCTGGCAGATACAGAAAACAGCAATAAATTTTAACTGCGATAATTAGAATTCTATCTGGACCAGCAAAACGTTTTTTAAGTGTTTTGTTTTATTGTGATATTTATAATTTAGGAACTGTGAAATGTGCTATTTTTATTTGTAAAAATTTTGCTATGTAAAATATTTTGTGTTTCTAGCAAGATAAATTTTGCTCGCAACTCCTCTCTGTACCACTAAAAACATAGTAATATTGAAGGAAATTGGAAAAAATCTCTCTTTTCCGCATATAGTGTCACTGATGATAATCTTGTATACATATTGCTATTATTTTTTTTTTTTTATTTGAACAAGTAAAAAATGGTGTAATTCGATCATAGCTGACTTTGCAATGACTTATAAGTTTAAAGAAATCAGCCATTTTTTCTCAACATAAAGCACTCTGTGTAAGTAATTGCTACTATAATGTTGCTGATAATAATACTACTTTTTGTTTAAATAACAAAGATATATTATAATTTGACTACCACTTGACTATGACTATAATTTTAATGAGACTGAAATAACTCCTTTACTCTCAGTAACGTAAATAACGATGGTTCGTTGTGTAACTATACCTTGACGTCAGGATGCGACTTCCGACGCAGATTCGTGAGGAATAAATCCGTCGACGTTTGCTGATCGCTCGACGCCTGTCGACAGCATTCATTAATCCCATTCGAATACTTTTGTTGCGGTAACCACCTGCAAACCGACGGTGACGTTTATTTCCGTAGCGAAATCTCATTATTACCAGACGGTGGCATATTTTACCTGTGAATCACCGGCGAGAGCAAGGATCTGTCAACGGACGAGGGATCTGTCGCACCTGTTATCCAAGTGACCAATCCGCCTACCAGCAACACCACCACCGTGCCGAGGGGGGCGAACCAATGATACGATAACCGGTACATCGGGAACACGTTCGCATCGCTGAGAAACAATTCGTAGTGGTTAGCAAGGCGTTTCCAGGCCAGTTTCCAAGGTAGACTGCGTCCGATATCGTATGCTAATCGAACTGTTTTATCGCCCTTCTGGATTTAATATAACGTCCTCCGTGCGAGTAAGGAATTCGAGCGGAGGAGCGTTAGTCGGGCCGAAAGTGCGGTGTAGACAGGCGAAAATTCGACATAGATAAAAACGACTCTTACTCGGATTGCTTGAACATATCTAGAAAGTCTTGGCTGATGTTTCCGCAGTGCGAGAGGGGTACCGGTAGTTTCTTCGGTATCAGGACACCTGAACCGATGACAGCGTTCGCCCCGAAACTGGCCCAGCCGGATACCACAAATCCAGCGATGGTGCCGATAAAAGCGCCCTGAAAAATAATGGAGTTGTGTTAAAAAACAGTCGCTTGCCCGAGATAGTCGAGTTAATTTGAGCGCACCTTCGAATTTGCCCATGGAAACAGGATTCCCAAAGTGAAGACGCCGAAAGAAGTACCGGCGGCGACAGCGGCCAGACCGTTGGTCACCTAAAACGTGAAGAAGAATCACGATTAGCGCGTTGATGTTCTGAATAACAACGAGAAGCAATATAAGATACGATTCAAATACTCACGGACAAAACTCCGCCCAATTTCTCGACCAGGAAAATGAAGCTCAACGCGATCAGGCCAAGCACGACAACGAGCACCTTTACGAAAATGTTGGAACATTGTTCGCTAGGTTTCATGTTGAAGCAACCCTTCACAAAGTCTTCTAGAATCACAACGGACGTCGAATTGAGGCCCACTGACAACGAACTGAAAAAGATAAGATTCTGATATTTTCTGAGTCTCACTACGGTATACAAACCCCTTGACTGTCAATGGCGAAAATATCTGCAAAATATAACCGAAATCAAAAGTGACGGAAATATCCGTATACTCAGAAAAAAATACCATATCAATTAGAATAAGATACTATATTTTTGTGTTTTTGGGGTCACTGAATTCAAATCTAAGATCAAAATTGTAAAATTCAAAACGATAGACTCAATATGGAGGACTGAATATTAAAAAAATCGTTCGATTTACATAAAAATTGGAATTTAAAGGTTTTTTTTTAAATCGCTGGTTTTAAATTTAAAGTAAAAATATATAAATTTAAAATGGTAAATTCAATATACGATAGACAAAAAATTCAAAATATGGCTCAATTTTCATAAAAATTAATTTTGAAAGGTTTTAATTATTTTCAATTTTTGCTATCGCCATATTGGACTCGCCATTTTTCTCAATTAAAAATTTTACTTTTGAATTCGAAAATAGCTATTTCGAGAAATCCTTAATACAAACTTTTATGCGAATCGAATAATTTTTTTTATCTTTAGTTTATTTTAAATTTTAAAATTTTCAAATTCAGTGATTTAAAAAACTTCCAAAAAGTAACTTTTTTTATAATTTTATTAGCTCTTTTGTCAAAATCATTTTTGGCCCACAAGCATTTTTCACTCAACAGCTAAGAGTTTAATAAACGTGTTATGAGCGCGTCGACGGTGGCTAATTTTATTCAAAACAAAAATTTGCCCGCGAATTCATTCGGCTCTTATCGTCATTTTGGACACGCAACCAGACCGGCGCAATCAATGATTAATTATTGCATATGCATATATACATGCATAATGTAATAATTACATTATTAATATAGATAAAATGAAGCTGAAATCTAAGTGAAGTATGACAATGATTTACAATCATGTGCAATTTATAAATCATGTGCAATTTATAAATCATGTGCATATACTCCCAAGAGTGTAACGTGTCGATTACCGATACAAGCTAATCGCTGACAATACCTGAGCGCTGCGCCAAAAATCCCGGCGACGAAGAGACCGGGTATCCCGTGCAAATGGTGAGCTATCTCCATGACATAAGCCGGCAGCAGTTGATCGTCGGCCGTAATTAAACCGGAAGCTCTTGGATCGCATTTCGGCGGCGACCACCAAGCGAGGAGGACCAGTCCACACCAACAGCACAACGAGACAAACACCATTACGCCGATGGTAAATAACGCGATGGACCTGCAATCGTAATGTCGCCAAAGATTTGCGATTCGACTCGTCTTCATCTGGCTCAACGTCTAACGCGCATCCTCTATACTATTTATGCTCCCCACCACGTGTCTCATCGCCTCTTGATATGAAAAAAAGATGTCACAAAAATACAGTTATTTTTTACATCAACCATTTTCTCTTGTTGTTTGAACAAAAAATAGTACACAGAAACATACGTACTTAATTTAAATAGGTATTATTTGTCTCAAGTATTTGACAAGTTTGTATATTCTAAAGGTGCGAACTATTCGAATCGAATCAAGTGAAATTTGATTCCCTATGATTCAAATCTGAATAATTCGAAAATTTTGAATCGAAAAGATTCGAATACGGAGCGCGCACATTAGCATTAACGAAGAACTATTAAAGACATCCAGCCTTACGGGAATTAGCATGATTTGAAAAGTTTGCTATACATTGAGATTTTCTTCAAAAATATTAAAAGAAGATAATGGCTTCTAGATAAACTTTTACCGACAACTGTCGGATCGATATGTGTCGTTGCGCAGCTTTCAAGGCTGAAACTGTATTTCATACACGTTTACCGACTATATATTATATATCTCTTGCCTTAAAATGAATTAATATCACATGATCAATGTTATCTCTCTCTGTTAATTACTGAAGTCACTATTATCATGTTGAATTCAATGATTATGTTAATTAAAAAATTTTTTAACTATTCGATTCGATTTCATTCGATTCGATTCGGGTGAAATTTTATCGATTCGACATTAAAAATCTTTGATTCGCATATTTCTAGTATAGTCACAAGTGTATTATAAGTTTCTCATATATAAGCGTCAAATTTTATTCAAGATGCGTTCTGTGAATCTAAAAGTAATCAAATAGTATAGTTAACAGTAAATCACTATAGTACTCTAATAAGCGTATTACCTCAACGAATGCGTCATTAACAATCACTTTAATAGGTTGAAAAAAGAAATGTTTGATCTTCATGGTTTCATAATTACACAGTGAAGTAATCATATTTACAAAAACGATTTTTGTAGTAAGTATCACTACACAGAAAAACTAACGCCATTAATGTAGCTGGATTTTTTGTTATGTGGGGATGAAAAACGTGACTGTAGGAACAGGAAGATTCCCGTAAGAGGTTCCTACTCAAGCCAACTGCTCTTTTAGTTATCTCAACTGAGTTTTAACGCAAATGTTCAGACAAACGCTCTCGGTCACGGTAACAGAGATATTATTTCTGGTCAGCGAGTTTTTCATCTGGTCCCCCCATTTTTAATTACACGAATTAAAAATTGCTTTCCGCGTGTGTAATAAGTACTACGTCAGCGAATCGCGAATGCATTAAAACAGCGTTACTGACTCACCACTGAGACATTCTTGTGCTCTCTAATGACCTGTATCGTTGCACCATGGTCTGATTGACGGAGATATATGCGACGCAGTACAGCCAAGAGCCGAACAACACCGTCCAGACGGTGTGCCTGGTGTAGGGCGACGGGTCGAAGCTGCAAACGAAAAGGTGAGGGAGATTTCGGAGGGCGCGAGACGACGTTTCTTGATCGCGGCGCCCTTCCGATTCTTACTTGAGGAACTCGATGCGATCGAGTTTAGCAGCTCTGCTCCAGACTTCGGACATCCCACCGATCTGATAAGTTCCCAAAACGGTCACCGAGATTACAGCCGCCACCATCACGCCGACTTGTAGGGCATCCGTCCAGACCACCGCTCGAATACCGCCCTGATCGACACGTCGCGAGTTAAATTCAAAGAATCTCGTATGCCTTTCAAAATAGGGAAAGAGCTCGAATCGTGTAACCACGCATATGGATGAAAAACGATTGAGGGGTCGTTGTGCAGAACCAAAAATTCAAAACGAATGCAGGAGATCCCTAAATTTGTTTCAAGCCGCGTAATTAGGAGGATGCCGATTATTGCCGATTACGACCGATTACGACCGATTACATCGATCACGCTCGCCTCGCTAACATGGCAAAGTAAAAAGAAGCGAATTGCCCGGGCCGGTGGCGATTATTTATTTCCGCGATAATGACGGAATGGCTTTTCGAGTGCTTAGAGATAACGGGTCGGCGCGCGTGCTCGCGCGTGCGCGGGCGCACGAGGCGCATAATAAACAAATTTGTAAAGAGCCACTCAACCACGATAAATTCTCATTAATACGAGATCCAACAAATTGCTCGGATAATTACAGGCGCGCGATCCCGCGATTAATCACTTCAGCGCCGGCTTTGTGATCCGCCGCTACGATAACAACCGCTCGACGTTCTCCGCGCCATTGTTTCCCCCGCGCCATTGTCAGGGGGGGGCTTTCAGTTTCCGTCCATAAACATTTCCAGTACCTAAGGCTCTCGCGTGAGATTCTTCGCGGCATTGTCCACCGAAAATTGTTTCCTATGGCAGACCGTGTCCAAAGGAACTCCAACCATCCCGCGGGAATTCGGCGAACGAGCCTCCCTCGGAAAATTAGCTTAGCCTCCGCCGGCCCTCCGCGTGACGTTTTCGTTGCTCGCCACCTTGGCTCCCGTGTTATTCGCTTAGTAACGCTCGCGGGGACGAGAGACGTTAATGTGTAATCTCTCTCTTTCGCGCGATTACGATTACTTTTTATCATTTTCTCGATTTTTTTGTTTCCTTTCTTTTTTCCGCCTCGAGTCAAGGAAAACGTACTCTGAAAGAAATTATCCGATAAAAAATTAACAAACGGATATTTTCGGTAAAAATACCGGTGAATTTTTATATCCGATCCAAAAACATCCGATAAGAAATATCGGTTCATAATTTTTTGATCGGTTTATCTGATGAAATGCCATTATGATCGGAAGTATCAGATAAAATTTAATCGGATATAAAAATTGATTGGAATTTTATCAGAAATATCCGTTTATTAATGTTTTATTAGATAATTTCCCTCAGTGTACCGATAGCCGGACAGCCAAGATTGCTTAATTGTCATAATGATGTACAATATTTCATGATTTAATTGTATAGTTAATTGAGAGCTGAAGTATGAGACTATATTTTGGCACATAAGAGATATAAATTATAAACATGTGTTGGCGTGTGCCTTGTTTTGTATGTCAAATAAAATGGAAAACAATTATATATATATATATATATATATATATATATATATATATATATATATATATATATATA